TGGCCAGCTGCAGACCAGGGGGACGGGGGAGGGGGGGGGGCAAAGCAGAGCCAAGCCGCGGAGCGCGTGGGCAGCGGACAGCCCTGTCCGCTGCCCACGTGTTCCGCCGCTTTGCTTCCTCTCCCTGGTCTGCTGGAGACCAGGGAGAGGAACTGCCCCGTTCGTAACTGCGGATCCGACATAAGTCGGATCCGCGTAACTCGGGGACTGCCTGTATTTATTTTGGTTTTGGTTATACAACATTCCAGTCAGCTGAAGAAATGGCTGTGCCCATGAAAGCTCATGATGCCATCTACAATCATGTTTTGTTAGTCTTTAAAGTGCTACCATACTATTTGTTGTTTTTTAAGTTTATCTACATTTTTGTTAGTCTCTAAGGTGCTGCAAGACTATTAATTATTTTTAAAGTTTTTTCAGTTACAGACTAACACAGCTACCTCTCTGAAACTGAAAATATAGAATAGGCCTGATAGATTTAGGACAGTGGCTTTGAGGGATGCCACTTTATCTGGGCAATAAACAGCATACATCTAGTTCATCATATTGTCATAACTGATCCTCTATCACACTGGGACATGTCATGCACTACTTAGCAACTCTTGGTGGAAGAATAAACATCCCTAAAAAAGAAGGAAATTGAGAGAATTCTTTAATCAGGCATGGAGAAACTTGTCAGGGAAAACAGCAAAAGCAGATATATTCTGCTTGGGTAGCCTTGCTGTTAAAAGACGTTGGCTGATGGAAACAGAATGATGACAAGTAGTCCTGTAGCACTTTAGACACTAACAATATATATATGTGCGCGCGCACACACGCACATATATACACACAAGGGATGTGAACGACTAGTCGACTATCTGATAAGCAAATGCTTCCCTCCCCCTTGTTGCCTCTATCAGAAAGAGAAAGCGGGGAGGAGGAATAAAGGAGGGGTGGTTCAAAGCAGCAGTGCCGCATGGAGTTTGGAGCTAGATTCTGGGCTCCGTGCAGTGCTGCTGCTTTGAAATGCCATGTGCACCCCGGGGCTAGCCCATGTGGTATGTGGCGTTTCAAAATGGCAGCAGTGCATGGAGCCTGGTGTCATCTGACCCTGAGCTCCATGCGACACTGCTGCTTTGAAACACTGTGGGGAGCATGGAGCCTGTGGGGGCCTGAGTCTCCCGCTGGCCCTGTGCTCCCCGCAGCGCTTTTGCCTTTGAAATGTAGCAGCAGTCCTGGGGAAATTGTATTGACTATTCGATTAGCCAATTAATCTAAATTTAACGTCCCTAATATACACATACACCCTCTCTCTCTCTCTAATTTCTATGTATCATGAGCTTTTGCAAGTAAAGCCCACTTCCTCAGATGAGCAAGGTGGAGAAAAAAAGGGGAACTTCACAATTTATAACAGAAAAAGATGGGAGAGGGGAAAAATACCTGTCACTTGTGGTGCTGGTGCTAATGAGGCTAATTGAGTGGGCTGGAAGTGTCCCATACTTAGCTATTGATGTCAATTGGGTGTTGAATATAAGGGCCCATCCAGTTCATGTCTTTGTTCAGCGCATGAGAAATAGTGTCAAATTTGCACGTGAAGGCCAATTCCACAGTTTGTAGTTGGTTTTTGAAGCATAATGGCTATCTAAGAGATTTATTTGGACAGTTTAGGTCAAACAACTTGGCCATCTTAGCTAAAATCCAGGCTCAAAGCTTTGGATGGGGTACTTGTCTTTACTTTTAATATAAATTTCTGACTGTCTATGTTTTAGAGAAATATTCTGTTCAAACAGCTAATGTCAACTTAAAGATTTCCAAACGTTTTAAAACACTAACCCATTTCTGATTTTCCATATAGGTGACACACCTTGCTGTAATATTGTACAAAACCAATGTTCCATTCCCAGAATAGTTTTGCAGGGAGCTATCCTGTCAGAGGTGACAACTTTTGTGAAAGATAATCCATGCCCCATAGTTAGAAAAGATTTCAATATTACTTTGCACAAGAGTACAGGTATTAATGCCAGAGTCATCTCTAAATACAAATATGAGCAGTTACATTCTACCATCTTCAAAATATGCCCTCTAGTTTCAACTGAAGATTTTATTTACACTTCCCCTTATTGAGGCTATTAATATTATGAGTGTGGAGGAAGGAGCAGTATGAAATGTAATTCTCTGATTTATTGTTAAATTATAAATCTTATAAAAATATCATGGCTCAGGATGGATGTTTCTATTATTTTTTTAATATTCTATCTACATTTAAGCTACTAGTTCTGTGTGGATTGCTGCTTTGTGTAGTATATTTTATCCAAGCTCTCTGAAGTGTTAAATTCATCCTTTCAGATTATTAGTCTTTCACTGTTCATTAATGCTCCTTTTGTTGCCTTGAGTAACATTGTGATGCTATAAATGGCTCTTGAATCTCATTTCTCTGCAGCATTCTTTGCCTTTTCTGTTTGGTTGTCAGTCTTTCACTCTTCACAATGTATGTTTTCTTATATTAGTTTAAACGTTGTTATCATTCTGATTCTCCAAAATACCAGCTGTCCAGTGCACTAGTTTCCCAATTTGTTCCATGTTAACAAACACCTCTTAAGACAGGTCTGTTCTCATAGACTAATTTTCCTCCCTAATCTCAATGCTACAGTTTACCCTCGCCTAATCTTACAATTCTAGCACTCAGTTACATAAAATAATAGTGAGACAGCACTCTGAAAACAAGATGAAAATAAACCAGATACATAACGGGGGCATCTGGCAGTAGCTGCTTGATTACATAATTCACAAACAGACAAATTCATAACTGAATCCTTCTATCTCACTCTCTTTTAATGGTTCATGTTTTACATTGTGATGGAAGCAACTCTGGACACAATCTATAAGTGCTGCTTTCGTGATTTTAAAAATTATTGGAGCACTGGGTTTGAGAATGCGTCTCTCTTTCCAGAGTTCTTATAGCCATATATCCCTTTAACTAAAAAGGGAATCTTTAAAAGGGTAGTAGGAGTGTTCAAAGTCATCACTGTACAAACTTAGTACATTTCATACATTTCCCCAGTTTCTGTATGTAGTTATTTTCTGTGAAGTCCCAGGCATGCAGACAACAGGAGCAAGAGCTTTTCCGGCCCCACTACAGAACTGGAAGCAGCCAACTCCCTCAATTTTAAGATAGATTTTAAGGACAGGGATGGAGGAGGTCTTTGCAGACCTTGCCTCTGAAGATTGTATTTGGGGAGGGGCCAGCCAGTCATCTTAGATGATATTGTACTGAAGGGGATGTTTGTAGCCAGACATTAACCCTCTCCCCCCCACTTCCCCCCGTAACATCCATCTTTGCTTGCCTGGAAACATGCAGAGCACACAGAGCAATAAAACAGCATGGTCTTTGAAAGCCTTGGAGCAGGAGGCTCAGATATGCTTGTTCACCCAGTGACCCTGGACAACTGTAAGCAGAGATAAGAGGGTGGTCAAACTAATCGCTGACCAAGAGGCTGCCGAGGAGTGCCCTTGACTGAAACCCATATTGATACGATCACACACTCGTCCGGGGGGAGGAATCTCCCGCCCAGCTAAGAATGGCCGGTACTCCTAATTTAGCTATCTCTCTCTCTTACAAGTGTAAATTATTTGAAACTCCCTTGTAAGAACTGGCGCCACAAAACGGACCAGTACAATTTGACATCTTAGATAAGAAAGAGGATACGGGCCCCTAAGGGTATAAAGATGGGTCTAGCAGCACACTCACTCTGAGCGTCAATCTACCATCTCTCTGCTGGTCGGGTTTGGTGTTTGACCTCCCGAGGTTCCATGGGGACACCCACCTCGTATTCGTCTTTCCGAGGAATTGAGGGACCGACCCTGACCTGACCCACTGGAGTCGAGAGGCACAGAAGGAGGTAAAAATTGTACCTGGATGTGTCCTTTGTTTAAGTATATACTGTGTTAGAGCTCTTTAAAGATTAAGCTGTCACTTGGTACCATTATTTTCTATCCTCCTTTTTCCTTTGTAACCATTTTAAGATCTATATTTGCTAGCTGTTAAGAAGTAGAGCAATAGCCATTGTAACCACATGCTTTATAAGCCTTTTTAATAAACCTGTAACTGGTTAAGCTTTAACCTGACTCCTTCAGTTGCTGTAACAGAACCAAGCACAATTTAAAAGAACTTCAGCCGGTCATAAGGGACAGGTATAGGAAGAGCTTGGGCGTTTTGGATCGTGTCACTCCCAGGTGACAGATCGGTTGGGGCATCTCTCAGTCTTCCCTAGACTGCCTGCTGCGAAGGGATCCTGTATCCTAGCAACTGAAATCTGAGATGTAATAAGCTCTTCCTATAAATTCTGGGGCGTCTGTCAGCCTGTTGGCTGCCCTCCGCGACGGGACCCCGATCCTAGTGGTAAGGGCATGGACGTTAAACTCGGGGCATCTGTCAGCCTGTTGGCTGCCCTCCGCGACAGGATCCCGGTCCTAGCGGTAAAGCCACAGATGTTAAACTTTCAGGGCATCCTTCAGCCTCCTAGGCTGTCCGCTGCGACGGGACCTTGTGTCTTAGCAGTTAAAGACTTGGGCGTCATACACACACACACTGCCCTGACCATCGGCTGACAATGTTCAACTGCAAATCTATGTTTCTCACCTCTCAAAATCTACCTTAAGCTAAGAGATGTTATGATAGTGTCAAACAAGAATTTTTTTTGTTTTTGTACAGCAACAAGGGGCATGTAAGGCCTGAAAACCTGGCAGCATGCATAGTAGTTGAAAATACTGTTTCATATTTGGACATTTGATATCCTATTTAAGCCATCTAGTAGTCACAGGTTGGGGGTAATATTAGACCTACAAGTGCTTTTAGATGACAAGAAGCATCTATGGCCATCCCAGGACATATTTTCTTTTATCTGCACTTAGCCAAAAGATTGCAGCTCTCCCCTCCTTTCTTTTTCCTTTTTCCTCCAGATGCTGCTCTTACTATCATAATCCATATTTCTGTCACTTCAGTAATAGATCACTGCTACGGCTTCCCATGGAGCTACATTCTAAAACTATTCAGAAGCTCAGGTAAGTGTAGTGTCATACTTGGAATTCTTGATTCATAAATACTCATCATGAGTTCTCTGTGATGTGCTCTGGTTCCCATGTAGAAATTAAGGTGTCCTCACAATGTATTACCGTAACACATAGAGGCCTAAATATGTGCCAAGACTCCATTGTGCTAGGCATTGTACAAAATAAAAAGCCCCAAATGGGCTGAGACATGTCTATATGAGAAATCATCCCTTTCCCATGCTGTCCGTGAGAGCTGATTGCAAGGAAGATGCTAAAGCTGGGTCCTTTAGTACAGTGGTGCACAGCCTTTTTTCATTTGCGACCCCTGCACCACAGGAAACATTTTGTTGAGCAAAAATTTACAAAAAAATGCTGGGTCACTGAAATGCAGTTGCAGCCCCTTTAATTGCCACTCCCTCCACCCCCGTCGCATGTCCATCGGGCACTGAGCCAGGAAAAGGAGAAAATACCAGCCGTCACCCCCCCCCCCCCTCCCCCCGGAAGACAGCCACGACCCATTACTGCTTTTGGAAGCAAGGGCATCTGCAGGCAGAGCTCTTCAGCTTTGGAAATCACTCCACATCTTGGTCTGAAAAAGCCAGATATGTTGACAGTCAAGGCACCTATGACCACTCAATACCAACTGGAAGAGGGCACACCCCTCATGTCTGGTCTCATACACTCATTGCCCCAACACACTAATGACGTAAACTATATCTTGAAGTTATGCTCACTGGTAGCATGCAGCTGTCCCAGACTAAAGGGGGAGCACTTCCAGTGCTCTCTGGAAGTTGGATCATTTTGGTCTGGAAGGCAAGAGTAGCTGGAAACTGCATATAAATGAGAAAACTGCTTCGAAAAAAAATAACTCTGAATTAAAGTTTTAGTCACTAGAAAGTGTTTTGTTTTGATTGACATGTAACCACACCTGTTTCTTTTATTCTTGCTTGTTATCACTTACACCTCTTTTCTTTAACTTAGTCTTGTTTCATTACAAAACAATCACAGGCCTGTGCATTACAGTGAAGTTTGAGTCTTAAGCTAACCTAACAGGCCGATGTGTGCTCTGTCTCTTCGGCTGTGTCTACAGGTGCAGTTTGGACAGGTGCAGTTTTGTTTGAGAAATCAAACTAAGTAAATAAATATTAGATTTTCCTGAAAACAACTGTGAAGATGCTTTATTTATCTTTCTGTAAATTTAGCACAGTCATCAGTTTTTAGCATCATATGGCTTTTTAAGTTATCCAGTGGTAATTTTATAAAACAAAGGAAGGCAGAAGAAATCAAATGACACAATACATGGTGGTTACAGTCTCAAAAAAAATTATCATGACTTAACGTAGTGTGCTGTGTTTCCTGTGTGTTAAATAATTTAAAAAATTTAACGTCACACTTCATATGTTTGGATTCACATCCTTAAATTATTCTTTCTGAGGCATTTTAATTTTATAAACATTCAGATCATGTGAATAGCTAACAATAACATTAACAACACAGTACCGTTCTCTTGTGAGAAATGTTGAATTCACATTTGTCACATCCTGTTTTAATGCATATTTGAATGCCAACCTCCTGCTTTTCCTCTATTTCTTTTGTCAGTGTACATCATTACTTCCCCTTGCTGAGAGAGTGCTCTTATATTTTTAAAATAGTGGAACACAGAAGTGTTTACAGATAGAAGAAAAATGACTATATTGTAACAGAAGGGGGAGCCACAGGAATGGGAACGAGAACTCAGTATTTAAATATCCAACTAATTTTAATGCAGCCAGAGCGCTATCACTGCAGCATCTGTCTTCCCTAACGTGGACAACAGAACACATCACCCCAGAACTTCATTTCAAATCCTATTCCACCTGCCTCTTTCAAACCACACACACCTGCAACCCAGCTAATGGTATTGGGAATGAGCCTTTAGGAACTAAGCTTTCCTGGCAGTCTGTGACGCATATGTTGCCCTTTGCAGCTAGCTGGAATTAGAGCAGTTGTGGGCAACCTGGGCCCATGAGCCATATGCAGCCTATTGAGGCTCCACTTGTGCCCCGCGGATCTTGTCTACCTCCTCCCCCACATGCCTCTCATGCCCTAGGAAATTGGAGCCCCACACATCCTACTCGTTCCCCTCACTCCCAGCACTTTTGGAACACCACAAATTGCCTGATTCGTTCTCCATCCCTTCCTCTCCCTACCTTCCAGAGCTTGAACAGCTGCAAACAGCAAAAGCAGGGCCACTCATGCTGCCCACTCCCTATTTTTGGTTGTCCATCACTGAATTAGTCACACAATAAAAGAGAGCACTCAAAAGCATTTAAGCACTGTATGATCACTGAACACCATGGGGAGCTCATTACTCTGTGCTCCTTCAGTGCATCTCCAACTTGTGCTGCTCTGCCCTCCCACATTAGTGTTAGCAGTTCCATAAATATAAATAGGCAGGCTCCTGAGAATCCACCCAACATGGCAAGGTTTGAGTGGCTGATGAATCTTCCAGGGTTTGCCTCTGGAGTGCTCATGGCATGTACACTGGTTGAGGCAACTGGCAATGTGACTTCAGGAACAATAATGGATTCCTTGTAGGCCTGACGACTCTGGTTCTCTCTGGGCTTTTCATCCCCAGAATTGTCTTCTCTAGGGCTACATGTACACTGCGGAGCTATTTCGGGATACTTCACAACGGCGAGGCGTCTCACAGGTGGGGTGAGCATTGAAAGATACAAGCAGACATGCTGGCTGGTACAGATGGGTATAGGGTGTTGGAGTTTCTAGCCCTCAGGGAGGAGGTGCCAGGAGTGCCGGGGCATTGTGGGAAGTGTTTTGTATTTATGCCCGTCAATGTGAAAGAAGCTATTTGCACATATTTGCATGTATATGCAACCACACAAGTTGCAGCCCTCAGCATATGCTGTGAGCATCTTTGTGGCCCCTGGGGCTTCTAAAGTTGAGTAGCCCTGCTTTAAAAGATAAAATGCATGTTTATCTGATAGAAGATTCTCTTTTGGCCAAACTGTCCTTGGATATTCATAAGTGATTCTTATAAATTTCAATGAGAACTGCACATAGGCATTTAAGTACATTGACATTCATAGGATCATGATAAATGGATGTGGAGAGAAACAACAGACCCATAAGAAAACATCTTAAAATACAGAACAGCCTTCAGAGAAGCCTTTATTTATAACAGTGGGCATTGTAATGGTGACACTTGTTTTTGATTCTTATTTCAAGTGTCTAACCTACTTATTAACCACACATTTTGTGAGTATGGATAAATCATATTTTCTTACATTTAGGAATAATTGTATTATTTTAACCTTTTAACAATAGAGTCCTTATTTTCTGTCAGTGAGTTTACTATAAATTGTAAAATATTTTGGTAAACCATAGTAAATGCCTTGACATAAAAATCAAGCATTTTGCTGCAATGTTTGCTTGAGAGACATATACACACATAAATCACAACACTTGCTTGATTATTTTAACAAAAACTTTCAGTTAATGTGCTTAATGTTACTTTTCCATAAACAAAGAATAAACATTTTCCTTCAGAGTAAGGATATAAGCAAATAAAAAATCCACACATGAGAAAAAAAGAGTGTCTCCTTCACACTGACAGTAGGGCCTTGTCTATACTACTCGGGAAGGTCAAAGTAAGATATGCAACATAAGTTATGTAGCTGGAGTCAGCGTATCTTATATTGCGTTTCCCTACCATCCACACAATAAATGCTCCTGGTGGTTTCCCTTACTCCTCATGAGAAGCAGGAGTAACAGTGCCAACAGGGGTGCCCTTTAAGTTCAGTATAGCATGTCTATTCTACATCCACTAAATCAAATCCCAAGGCTGTGTCTAGACTAGCCAGTTTTTCCAGAAAATCAGCCGCTTTTCCGGAAAAACTTGCCAGCTGTCTACACTGTCCGCTTGAATTTCCGCCAAAGCCCTGACTTCCTACTGTAAGAAATCAGTGCTTCTTGCGGAAATACTATTCTCCTCCCATTTAGGCAAAAGTTCCTTTTGCACAAAGCTTTTGCGCAAAAGGGCCAATGTAGACAGCTCAAATTTGTTTTCCGCAAAAAAGCCCTGATCGTGAAAATGGCAATCGGGGCTTTTTTGCGGAAAAGCGTGTCTAGATTGGCACGGACGCTTTTCCGCAAAAAGTGTTTTTGCGGAAAAGCATCCGTGCCAATCTAGACACTCTGTTCCGCAAATGCTTTTAACGGAAAACTTTTCCGTTAAAAGCATTTCCGGAAAATCATGCCAATCTAGACGCAGCCCAGAAGATCAACAGCGGCAGCGTTGGTCTTCCGTGTAGTGTAAACTTGTCGTAGCAGTAGCAAGAGAAAGAGGAATACCTACACCGGAAAAACCTCTCTGTTCTTTTGCTTTACTTGTGCAAAAATGCACTTGAGGTGTGGACACTCCACGAGTTTTTGTGCAAAAACAAATGTTTTTGTGCAAAAACTCTGTAGTGTAGACCTAGTCTTCTAGTATAACACTTTTGCCAGTCAGAGTTGGCAGGAACAAGGGCTGGATTCAATATCTAAGGGTTCTTTTTCAACAAAACAATATGAAACCAGCTGAAGCCCTTTAGGACAATCACACACCACTTTCTGGGTGCCTCAGAGGCAATACTTCCCATCTTGCAAACACAGTCTGAGTGCAGCAAAAAAACCAAACCAACCAAACAAAAAAAACCCTACAACCTCCGCCCCTCCCCCCAAAAAAAACTTAATAAAAAGAAGGAAGTAACTTGCAATTTATTTGGGGAAACACCACTACTGCGGGCACTAAACAAACCCCCAGTTCAGTAACACTGGCCCGGGTTTCGGGTGGGGAAATAGCAAATAGTAGCAAAGCAGTGGCCCAGCAGACCAGGCCTTTGTTCAAGGCGGGGCAATAGCAAACAGAGGCAAGCAGTTTAGTCTCCTCATTCAGGAGAAGCTCAGGTGATTCGCCTGTGGTGGCAGAAAGGGGGAGGCTGCCACCCAGCAAATGGGTAGCAGGTGGGACACAG